CAGCAATGTTCTCTTTTTTTGGGATTGTCATCAGCAGCTTCATCATGTTCTTAAGACTTAACCTCATCCATGGAATTTTACCTTCGGAAAAAAAAAAATGTCAGAGAACAAAATCTGGACTATAGGAGGCTGACAGATTTGGATGATACAGTGTTTCAAATCCTGTCTCAAAAAACAAGTCACCTATCATAGAAACCTCACTCACTGAATAACCCCATGGGAAAATGTTCACATGTATGCAGTAATGTTATTTACTATTTAGACAAATAGAAAGTTTTCTGTGTTTTTCTTACCATTTTCAAATTGTGCCTTCAATACTCAAATTAGGTCCTATTTGCCAAAATAGGAAAGGGGTCATTTTAATACTTTAATTGTACATGACAATGGAGACTTTTACTTTTACATGCCAACAAAATATTTTTTAGACATCTGAGATCATTTCTTTAAGATAAAAAAAAATATAATTAACATGTATACAAGTAAGGACTGTTTACTATAGTATAGTCTGGCACAAGGTTACAATAGTAGTATATCCTGTAGGAAGTGAATAAAGAGGACTTGGAAAAATAAATTTGACATTCACAGCACAGGACGTATGGAAGGCAAAAGAGACGGAAAGAAAATGCAGCAAATAGCCTACCTAAAAAACTTTTGTAAAAATGGTTGGCAGTACTGAGAGTAGGAGGGATAGCTATAAAAAAAGACAAACCTTGCTAAGAGCTATAAAGGATAGGAAGTTGTGGAGAGTCATGATTGCCTATATCCTGGCGGGAAACCGCACAGAGAATTTGTTTTTGATACAAGTAATCATCACTCTGTGGTAGGTACCCATACAAATATTGACTAACTTTACTCTGGCACAAGGACATAACAAAAGACCACTATAAAGAATTGAAGATTGAAGATCAACAAATCCACTAAGTCTCATTATGACAGACAGGAACTGTAAGGAAATATTTAGTACGTTTATTCAATTGTCTGGCACAAGTTTAAAATATTCTACATTTTTTTTATCAAAAAAAAAAAAAAAAAAAAAAAATTCTAGGCTCAATAAGGCTAGGTAAAAAAAAAAATTTAATGATACTTATACTCGTGTATAAGACTACTCAAGTGCGACCCCTGAATTTTTAACATTTCCAGAAAAAAATTACCTGTGTAAGTGTACTGTAATGAATGCAAGCGGTTACTGAAAAAAATATGTATGAATTTTCTTTAAAAAAAAAAAAAAAAAAAAAAATACCTGTATAAGTGTGACACCCTATTTTTTTTTACGTAAAAAAAAAACTAATCATAAAAGTAAAACCTCGCACTACTCAAGTCGAGTATACGATATTTAAAAATCTCCAAATGAACACATAGTTGAAAAACAGGGAAAAAATGAGTCGTGATTTCGAGTTTTTTTAATTATTTTTCAAACAAAAAACAAGTTTCACATGCTAAGTAAAATACTGAATTACTTTCACTAGACTTTTTATTAACATTCAAACAAAAAACTAAGGCACTACTTATGGCCCATTCATAAAAAAATTAAATAGGAAGAAATCTTCATATTGTCTTTGGTAGAGACTCATTGCTGTTCTTTATTTTTTTTATAGCAGTTGAATTACATTTCAAACTTAAAGCATATCACCTTCTTTTTTAACATCAAAATAACAAATAAGAAGTCTGTTGATTTATTTGACGTTTACCTTTTAAATTTATTGTTTTAAAAAACTAATAATAGTAATAAAATAAAATCTTAGTAATTAAATTACTACTAATTAGTTTTGAATCCCACTGGCAATTTTTTATTTATATTTTTTTTGTGACTAAAAGAAACTAACATTATGTGTTGACTAAAAAAAAAAAAAAATTTCCCAATATTTGATTTGTAAATTTTAAAATGAGATTCTCAAATCATCTTATAACTAAGTGTTAAATATAACTTAAAGTTTTTAGAAACCAATATATTATTTTTTATTTCAGGAAAATGATTAGTCTCATTTCATGTGTTACATCTCCCACTTTAAAAAATAGATTTAAAAAAAAAATGAAAAACAATAAATATTGTTAATTTTGCAGGCAAACAATATTGCTTATTTATTCTTTTCTTACACATTTTTAAGATAATAAATATCTCTGTCTTGTTGTCTACCTCCAGAGATTTCAGGTGTGTCAAATAAAAAATAAAAATAATCAGAAAATTAAAGTACCTGCTGGTCAGAGTTGCTGGCCGGTAAAATAACAACAGCTAAGATACAAATAAGTTGGAAAATGGCCCCTACAAAAAGTCCACATTCGAGGAACCGATCCATGAGAGTAGGTTCTTCAATAACAACACCCATTGTCGTTTCTTTTTTTTTATTTTAAATCTTTCTCTTGTCTTCTTTTTTAGCACTCGTTACTTATGCCTACATTGGATGTTTGGTAATAATGGCTGATGTCTGCCAATCGACTTCCTCATTCGGTAATGTTCGTCACTTTCCGGAAATGATTTACAATACTGATAACCATAGCAACAGCGTCTCTGCTAAATATTGCTTGAATTTTTTTTTTCATTCTTCAGATCTTCTTGTCTCTGTCACTTCTTCACCAAAATATATCAAGATCTTTGCAAAAATAAATAATAAATGATAAATGAAATAAAAATACGTGTCTGGAGGCTTAATATTTGCATGATGAAAATGACACGATGAGGCAATCGTTTATCTGTATCTAATAAAATTTAAAAATTACTTGTTAACCTGCAGATAACGAGGAATAAATGTCCTTCGAGGTATGAGGGCATGGAGCAGAAATAATTACACTTTCACACTTGCAATGTCACTTACAAATAATTTTTCTAAATTAAAATATTGTCCAACTTGATGTTTCTCGAACAGCTGTTTTCAGCTTGAGGCCAGTTGGCATTTTTATTTACGTGCGAATTTGATTCACATTGCATTTGTTGAGTGTCTCACTGTTGTGATGACCTTGTGTCAAACCAGACAGAAGTATCGACTTGGACGTCGGCTCTCGGCATAATGAATTTTATCTTCGCGAGCATCCCACTCTTGTCGCCTTGTGAGACTAAGTGAAACATAATAGAACGTTCTATTTTTAATTTATTTATAATAATCAAAGAATGTTTTTAAAAGGGAGAATCGGAAAGAAAGTGAGTGGGGAGATGGTGAACTGAAGACTTTGTTGAAGTCACACTCGTCAACACTAGCGAACTAAAAATTTTATCATTTTATTTTTAAATAATAAATTTCAATTTGATTTTTTGAAATGTTTATAAAATTCCAATGACCAATTATTTCATTTTTTTTAGTTCAAAAAAGTTAAAGATCTAAACGGGCGCCTGTGCAAAAAGAAAAATAAATGGAAATTATCACCACTTTCTTTTCTTGAAGAAAAATAGCATTGTCTAGTTGAGCATTTCAAACGATTCTTCTTACCAAAGTTATTTATTTCCCTTCCACGTCGATTAGATTTTTGATGTTCTACTAAAAAATGCCCACATTTATTTTAGAAATCATCCATCATTTCAAAATAAGAGGAAAAATTGCGTTCGAAATGCAATATATTTAATTTAATTTTTAAATAAAACGTGTCTATGGAGAGCAAGCAAATTTTTCAAAGACAATTCCATTAAACAATCAACAAGGCCTTTCTAACTTTTTGTTTAGTTTTTTTTAACTTCCGGAAATTACAAAAAATAATTTAAAAAGTTGGACAGACAGGTGGCCTTGCTTGTTGGTATTATTATTGTTTAAAAATCTTGTTTGAAAACTATTTTCTATTCATAACAATAGAAATAATAAATAAATCTATACCAGATTTTTAGAACCTTAAAAATGGATCTTATTTTTCATTTTAATTTTTATAATTAACGATCATAGGAATATTTTTTATTAATGAGTTGTCATTGACAAACAAATTGTGAACAAGTTTTCTGCGGTAGGATTTTTTAATTCATACTGTTTAATTTAAAATATAAATTTTGATGTCATTTTTTTTTTTTTTAGAATGAAAAGAGAATTTTTAAAACAAGAAAAATGGTGAGCGTGAGACCATTCATTTCAAATACAATAAATTTTCTAAATTCTAAAATTATTTTACATTTTTTTTTTACTTTTGCAAGTACTAAAAACTAAAAAGCGTACTAAATATTTTTATAAAAATAATTTTCCAATAAAAATGAAAAAAAAGCTCTTAACTTTCCATAATTTAAATTATAAATATATTTTAATTTTAATATGGTTTAAAATTTTAATGTTACAACAGGTTGTCTCGACTACTATACTTTTCATTTTACATTTTTTAGTACATCCATGGATGGAGACAAAATAAAATTTTTCGCATTTCTTTATGATCTGTGCTTCCTTTTTTTTTTTTTTTTTAACGCAATGTTTTTGGTCCGTTTTTATGTGTATCTACTGAACAATTAATAAAGAATAAATAATACATTTTAAGAATCTATCCTTTAAAACCTTGAAGATAATTGAAATAGAGGGGAATCAAAACTCACTGTTGTTATTTAATGACATGATCACTAAAATTGACAAGAGGTTCTCATTAAGGACAAAAGCGCGAAAAATGTGGAAAGACAACTTTTACACACGGATGTGTAAAACTATTTACGACACTGCGAGTATGGTTGTTACTAGAAGAAAGAAAAAGATAATATCCATTGTTCGGTTTAAATGTTTTAATTATAAATAGAGATTTTACAGACAATAATATTTCACAAATAAAAGCGACTTTATTCATGGTTAACGTATTTACGACATCGAATCGGATGACGGCAGTTTTGGACCAATCAAAACATAGAGGTAAATTTAAACGATTTTTGCAATAGTAGACCTCGACAATTTAAAAATTCAAGTTGGTTTCTTTTTAATCCATTGATAATGGAGTTCAGCTGTCTTTTCAGGAACTAAAGCAGTTATAACAAATCTGTCTAATATCTGGTACAGATAAAATAATATAATTACCAATAACGTAATTTTGTTTTATTAAGAACGTGACGAGTGATGATGGCTGCCATAAAGAAAATAACAAACCAGAAATTTCTCCAAGGTAAGATTTAAAAAAAAATGTTACCGAGATATTCATAAACTAAACAGTAAACACGCATTGTAATGAATTATAATGATAAAAAGAAAATGTATATTTTCAGTTTATTTTGTTTTTATCGCTACTTCACGTTTTTTATTATTAAGATTTGCGATGTTACCGCAATCGTGTTGAAATTAATAAACTTGCTTTTTAGTTTATTCGCTCTGGCTAATTTTCAAATCAAGTGGTCCTTGCCGAAATGTGTGACCACCACGGAAACATACAAATATTCACATCTTCGTAGTCCAGTACATTTGACAACCTACGAGTTACAGTAAAATTGTTTTACTTTTATTTGTTACTTCCAGAACTTTCTTTAATAGAGTAATTGGTTACTTAAATTATTTTTGTTCGTTCTTCATTATTGCAATTGGCTCTGGATTCTTCGCATATTTCCGTGAGCGTCACACATTTGAGAACGGACCACAGTATTTGTCTTGTATCTTTCTTTCTGTAGATGTCCCCATGAAGAACTTAAAGAACAGTATTCCTAACCAAAGACCAAAAAGCTGTATTTCGGATGAACCAAAGAAATTAGATTGTGTCAAAGTTAAGGGGGGAAAAATAGTTTGAATTTAAGGTGTCACGTTTTTTAACACCTCATATGTCTCTGTATACAATCACCAAGAAGGAAGACTAATGACACCACTACTAATTCGATTCTCCCGATTTTTTTTATGTGGATGCGCTTACGCGTTACAATTTAAGCCATTAAGTTATTACTGAAAATAAAAACATTTGTATTTGGTAAACTAAACACCAACTACACGTTTCGTGTTAAAAAAAAGCACAAAGCGATTGTTGAGATTTATTGTAAATTAATACAATTATGGCACAAGGCGATTGTTTGTTGCAATTTTTATTTTACTTTTCAAAAGTTTCTATCAGGAGCCAAAATTTATTCCAAGTAAAAAAGAAATTTGGTTAATTTAAGCACCAAAGGCCCCCGATATTGAGAATGTCCCATTCTGATGTGAAATTGCCTGATTATTTCGAAAATGACATTAAAACATTGTACTTCATTACCGTTTAAAAGTTATAAACAATGTAAGTTCGATTTCTTTCTCGTCGCGTACACTACACACAGAACGTCCGCCATTACTTGTTTTGTTTACATACGTTTGCCTCGAGCAGTCATACGGCACGGAAGCTTTACTTGTCTTGATTACTGTGCAATGCGCGAAGTTTGAAATGAAATGCGCGAAAAAAAATGAAATAAAAATTACGTGCCTGAAAAGTAAAAAAAAAAAAATTTTTTTTTCGTCTTTTGAATGATATTTTTTTAAAAAAAATTTTTTAATGTGTTGTGTAAGTTTCTTGAATTTAAAGCTTCATTTTATGGTGAGATTCTGTTTCATTTTATTTTAGCTATAAGCAGATTTATTAAGGACAATAAAGTAAAAAAAAAATACTATTCATTTAAAAATTCATTTTGAAAAATAAGCGCAGTAATCAGGACAAGTAAGAAGTTACGAAAAGCTGTAAAAAGGCCGTTGGCGTTAAGTAAGCTTCCGCGCATTACTACTAGAGGAAATGTAAACAATGTGAAAGAGATTGAACTTTGACAATAAACTGTAATCGAGCGCAATGTTTTAATGTCATTTTTCCAAATAACCAAGCAATTTCACATCAGAATGGTACATTCTCAATACTGGGGTTTTTGGTGCTTATACTGCAGTGCAAATTAACCAGAAATTTTACTGACCCTCAGTGAATTTTTGACAACCAAAGCAGCAGCAACTTCTTAATCAATTGTCTTGTGGTTCCTGTGTAAAGAAGCCTTCCTAACTTAAGTGTTCGTCCTTAAAATAAGCAACAAACCAATCACTAAAACTTTTCTAATTAAAATTTACATTTCTAAAAACATCTTTGACTCTGTGGAGTAATTTGTTTGTGAACTCTGAATAATTTAGAAAATTTTTGAATAATACATCAGTGATCTAATTCTTTTAAGTTTTTATAAACATTTTCAGAGTTAGCTTGAAGATGATCTGACAAGACTTCTGCCATAATCTTTTTGTTATATTTCCTTGTTTAAAACAGTTTTGTTGCAAGGCATTATTTGATCATGAATAGATATTCCTGCTAATCATGGTTAAAAAGTAAAATTATCTTTTCATAACATTTAAAACAAATCAAAAAACCTTAAGCTATATATATCTGTTCACAAGACCTGTTATTGACAGTAGAATAAATCATTTGAAACTAATTGTAAGGATCCATTTCTCTTGAACACATTCAGCTGATGGTGCTGTAAAACATTTTGCTTACTAAATTTCTATTATGTTTGTCAGAATCTCAGTATGTTTGTAACATTGCCTATGAAGAAAAATGTTTTTTTTTCTGTTTTCAGGCCTTAATTCAATTTACGATGAAGTTTTTGACTTTAACTTGGACAGTGAAGAGTGAGTAAGACAATTATTTTTCATGTATTTTTTTCTTTTAAGTTTTTATCGAAATTAATTTTTAAAGCACAAGATTTTTATTATAGTGTTTTAATGGTTGACAGGATGAGACTTCACTTACCTGCTTTTGTGCAAATAAGTTGTTCCCACAATTCAGTGATTAAGCTGATCTTATTAAAATGGAACTACAGGAACAGTTTAATCTTTTTTTTTTTTTTTTTTCTTGGTGATATGTGTGTGCACAACAAATCACTCTTCTAACATGAAGAAACAGTCAACAAGAAAATATGACCTCTCTTCCCTGCTAAGATGTTTTTTGTTTTGCTTTTTTAAAAGTTCCATGTTTGATGGATGTCAGTTATCAGATATCTCCTGTTAATTTTCCCTCTGAAAGTTCTCCATTGCCTTAACCAGGTATTGAACTCACACTCTTTGGGTCCTGTCACTGGATCTAACCAATGCCTTTATCCACTGTGCCATGTGTCCTTGAGGACATCTGGGTATTATAAACCTAATGTCTTCAGCAACAATTTTTACCAATGCCCATACAGCAATTTTGCTGTTATCATTGCATGTTTTTACCAGAGCTCATATTGCAACTATGTTGTTGTCATTGCTTTTCTCTGGCACTCCTTATTACTGGTTCCCATATTGTATTTATTTCTATGCTTGGAACTAGAACAGTCTACCCCAGTGAGCGAAATAAAGGGTTTGGTTCGACATTCCAACCACCTGAAGAAGGTCGGCGCGTACAACGGCCGAAACGTTGTGGTAGATATGGTGAAAAAGATGAGGACAATAGTCCGAATAATGTAATAGGATTAAAATGAACAAATTTGTCTGAGAACCCAATATATGCAGAAAACATTACAAACAGGCAAAGTGCTTTTTTTCTTGCCTTCACATTGGATCATCTTCCCACTTTTAGTGAGTTAAAGGATAAAATTGCCTGTTGGTTTGTGTTGGTTGCTATTGGGTAGTCATATTTATGAGAAAAATTTAGTGCCTTTTGTGGCAGTAGTATACCCCTCACTGGTATTAATTGGAACATCTCTCTTCATCCAGATAATTTTGAGCTACATGTCATCTCAATAGCATTTTCTATAGACTCACAACAATCCCACTTCAGATCAAGAGATGAGAATTAAGTAATTAGTTAAAATAAACAAAATCCACCCTTATCTATTTTGTAGCATTGTGGGGGGGGGAATTATTTGATTGTACACTTGATCTTTGCTTCTGTAAAATTGACTGTTTAGAGTTTCTTCTACTTTCAGTGAAGAGGATGAAGTGTTTACTGGAGATTTCTGCTTTAAAGAGAAGTGTAAATCTGCTGTAGTAAATGACCTCTGCAATGTTGAGCCCTTTGCTGAATTGACATCTGATCAATGGGTTCACATGAAAGAGCAGGCTGACTTTATGATCTTTTTATTGTGGGAGGATAAGCAGGACCAACACCTTAGCAACACTCCCGATTCTGCCATGATCAAGAATAGCCATAATATTATCATCCAAAGTCCCCAGGTTACATCCAGTCCAGCCATGAATACAAGATCCAAACGAAAAATGCAGTTGACTTCGGGGTCCCCTTACAAAGTTTCTCCCTTACAAGATATAACAAACAGAAGCATCATCAAACCATCTCCACAAATTCAGAAGCTTGTTTCATCCAGTCTGGACACTTCCACTGACTTTGCCCTGTATGACCAACTGGGATTGGTGAATCCAATGAAGCTTAATTTCGATGATGTTGAGCATTCGCCCAAGAAGAGCCGATGCCTCAACCCATATTTCACCATCCAAGACTCTCCTCTCATCACAGATGAAGCCTGGGATGTTCTTGTGTCTAGTCCAGATGTACAGCAGAACAAGACAATGAGAGAATCTTTCGGTTTGAATGCCAGAATGAGTTTAGATGCAGTACTGATGAAATCCAGGCTCAGAACAAAGACCTTCAAACTGGATGAAGGTAACAGCATACTTCCTTCTCTTTTACGTCCCAATGTCTTGAGTTCAAATGAGAAAGAAAACAAAACTTCACAAAAGAACAATAAAGAGAGGATCAATAAAGCTTGTGAACCTGAATTGAAACCTCCACGAAAAAGCATATTAAATGTGTCCTTTACTATTGACAAAAATTCTGAGCTAGGAATTGCCACTCCACCAGCAAAAAGTTTAAAGAATGTGGAATCCTCTCAGGGAACAGAAAAGCCAACATTGAATGAATCTTTTACTATCAATAAATCCCAAGATTGTCTGAATGAAAAACCAGCTTTGAATGAATCTTTTACTATCAATAAATCTTATGTATATGAATCTTCAGAAGGAAAACCAGTTTTGAATGAGTCCTTTACCATTAACAAGTCTATTGTCAGAGTTTCTTTGAGTGGAAATGCAACTTTGAATGAGTCTTTTACTGTAAGTGATTTCTCTACTATGACTGAAAAGACACCTGTAAAGGAATCCTCTACAATAAACAAATCTGTCAAGCAGGAGTCAATGAATGAAAAGCCAGTCTTGAATGAATCTTTTACTATAGACAAATCCCATCCTAGTGAGTCTGTGAATGAGCAGCCAGCTTTGAATGAATCCTTTACTATTAATAACTCTCAATCTATCAAACCTCCAAGTGGGAAGCCAGTTCTGAATGAGTCTTTTACTATAAACAAATCTCAACATGAAGAGGTAATCACTGAAAAGTCTACTATGAATGAATCTTTTACAGTGGAAGGCTCACAAACTGCAGAAGTATTGACTAAAAAGACTGCTCTGAATGAGTCTTTTACTCTAGAAAAATCTACACTGAATGTGTCATTCACAGTTGATGATGTGTCAATCAAAGATTCTCACCTCAGTAAGTCTTACACTGAAATTGAGAAAACCACTTCAAAAAAGAAGTCTCCACACAAAAAACAAAATTCTTTAAACTCTTCTTTGCTCAATAAATCTACAACAGGAGACAAATCTTGTGAACGGCTTAAAAGCACACTTCATTCCAGGAAAAGAACATTAGTCTCTGTCACCAAAACACCCACTCGACAGAGAGCTGAAACTCCAAGCAAAACTACTGTGGTCAGTTGTTCCCAGTTGAACAAACAGCAGATGCCCATTATAAAATCCAGCATTGTACCCAAACTTTCCACATCTCTTCAAACCTCCAAAACCAAATTTACCTTGAAGAATCCAAGCTTGAATTTTAATGCGTCATCTACTTTGCAGAAAGATAACCATGGAATTGTTAAATTTGAAGAGAAATCAGTGGTTCCAACAAAGAAAGCAAGAAGCAGCCTTTTGATTCCAAACAAAGTTACTCGGAAATCTCTAAAACCTTCATCTCAGAAAATTATTCCAAAAAAGGTCAGTTATCTACACACCTCCATACTATCTAATGCACTTTATGTAAAATTGGTTTTTATATTTAGTAATATTTAACTGGCTTGATTTGTTATTAGATTTCACTTTTTTTTTTTTTTTTTTTTTTACAAAACATTTGCAAATTACCATTTTGTAACTTATTTTTTTAAATTCTCTTTCTGCTGACAGGAGGAGTCTAAGGAAGAATCTCCTCAAATTTTACAACCCAAGCGGAAGTGTCTCATATCTACTCCACCAATTAGCAAAATTGGTTCTGTCAAACCAGCTGTAAGTTATTATGCTTCTTCTAGTCAGTAAGTCAATCAAATTAATAAAGATGGAACAAATAGGATTTGATGAGATCAAGTAACTTCTCTTTTGAAAATTTATTCACTTTCTCCTTTTTATTCTTGAAGACATTTTTTTCTCTCTGATTTCTGTTTAAATGTTTGTGGTTGACAGAAGTCAATTACTAGTCAAATGATGTTTCATCTCACATCCACCATGAATACAATTGGTTTGAATTGATAATGAAAACCTCAGATGAATTTATAGTTATTTAGAATACTGAAGATGATTTTGACAATAACCCAGTAAGAGATTTCAATAGAAGATGTTATTATATAACCTTTTTGATTGCAGGAGTCCAGTTTAAATGGTAATCAAGATGCACCCAAAACTCGTCTTGCCCTACCCAGTAAATTCCCATCTAATCTAATCAAAACAGATACAGGAAAACCAATGTCAAGAATTCCAAGTAAAGGTCCATTGAAAGCTTTCCCAACTTTAGGCAAAGGTAATAGACATTGAAATTTGCTAGCATATTCTGGGCTCAGGAGAAAATCCTGAAAAAAACCAAAACAAGTCTTTCCTCTCTACATTTTTAAACATTTCTGCTAAAGACTTCAGTCTATTGAATGTCACTGATTAATTCCTTCTCTGTCAATTATATCAAAATGTATTCTTATTAGATTCATTTTATATAATCCTCTTTGAAACTTTAGGGATTGATACCCACCCCCATTCATTAAACTCTGAAAATAAATGAATCTATGCTAGTTTCACACTTTTAGATATTTAATCATTATATACACACTTCATTAATTATTTTAAGAGTTAAGCTAACTTCATCAGTGTGTAAACAAAAATTAAGTGAGCACAATTTTTTTTCTCTTGAACATTAGTAATTTAGTTATTTCCATGTTTAATTCTGAATTTAAAAGCTGACTGGTAAGGGTTGATAATCCATAAAAAATGAATACATGATTCTGATATGTTCTTTTTCAGTTGGTGAAATGAAGCAATCTGAAATATCTAAATTGCCTTTGTCTGGTAAATCCAAGTGAGTATAAAACTTCTTTCAGTTCATCTTTTTCATCGTTAAATGTTTTAACAATGTCAGAATGTGATCATCTTTACGTTTGTTTATACACACTTTTCATAAATTTTTTTTTTTTTTTTTTTTTTTTTTTTTTTTTTTTTTAGAACCTATTTTTATACTTGCTATACAATAATAAGTTGTCTATCAGTGATTCTTAAAAATACCTGGATTGATCTAAAACAGACTTTTTTTCTCTTTCAATGTTCTTAGTCACACATTGATACAAGGAAAAGTTAATAGTTCAAATGATTTTTTTTCTGCATAATGAGCAAAGATTCAAGAGTATGTTTGTTTTTTTGTTTTTTTTGTTTTTCATTTACATTTATCGTTGATTTGAAATTTTTTCTGTATGCTTCTTGAATATTAGTGTAATTATTTCTTTTTCTTTTACCAGGTTGAAAATGTTTTCCCCAGTAAAAAGCAGAATCCCTCAGAAAAACTTGAAGAATTCTTAAGCCCTCTTGCAATTCACAACACTTATGGATACTTCTTTCTATTTGATTGGCATTGGGATAGTCCAAGTATGGTGCCAGTCAGTTTGTTCCTCTTTTTTGACCTTTTTAGCTGGGCAATTATATACATTGAGTTTTTTTTTTTTTTTTTTTTTGTATCTATTAAAGGCAATCTGTATGAGAAAGAGGAGGCAGTTGAAGAGACATGGTGAATAAATATTAAATAGCAATAGTATATATATATGTGTGTGTGTATGTATGTATATATATATATATATATATATATATATATATATAAAAATAATGTGTGTATTAGCAGGAATTTCTCTTGTAAAATATTTAAGATCCCCACCCCATAAATTTTGAATCCATTCCATCTAAATATGCTTCAACTAATAAAATTTTTTTTCATTTACATTTATGGTTGATTTGAAATTTTAATTTTTAAAATAAAATCCTATGATATGGAGTTGACACTTGGGAATTTGTTCAAATTTTGCCTACCTTATTTTATTTTTGAAAAGTAAGGTGTTGAATAATTTTTGATTCTTGTTAAATTTAGATGGTTTGACTGAATCTTCAATCATCAGACTAAGAGACTGTGGAAGAAAATATCGGAAATTCAGGGCAAAGTTTTAAAAAAAAAATCTGCTGAAAGAAACTCATCAAAATGTGAAAAATAATTGGTGTGAGAATTCCAAATTAGGATGTTACAATTTAATGCTTCATTTTGCTGCCAAGATCTGTTTGCAGCCACTTGAGGGGCTCTGTTACTGTTGATGGCATCCATTTTAGACATGAACAATATGCTCATATTGTGAATAACTCACTTGTTCAATCCAGAAGCTTTGCAATGGAATATAATATATGCATTATCTAAGACCTTAAGTCAGCCCCTCCAAATGTTCATGTAACAAAGACTAAATATACTCAATTGTATATTCTGATTTTTATATTTTGGTGGTAACTATTAATTTAAGGTTGCTTGAAACATCTTTGCTTTATAATTTTTCTCAATTTAAAAAGCAGACCTTTTTAACTCTTTACCATGTGTTACCAACATATACCAAATTTTTTTTCTTTGCCCTAAAAAAATCTAGAGGTTTTCTTTTAACCCGTAAAAATATTAATAATAATTATAATAATAAAACGTTGTCCTTTTTATTGTATTTAAATCTCTTGTAAAATATTTGATAGCCAATAAGTTTTGGAGAACTTTTAAAGCATATTTTAATTGTTATGTGTGCTGAAATGTTCTGAGACTAACCAAAAAAAATATACTGTCATTTCTTCTAATTTTCAGATGTTAAAACATCAAAACTTTTAAGAAAAATTCCATTTACAAATTGACTAAAGATTCCTCATAGATGAAACTAGAACAGCAATGTTTTGTAACTTTAACCTTATATATATATGTATATGAGTGTTCCTTATAGCACAGCGTGTGCACTCTCTCTTTCTCTGCTTGGGAATTGTGCAATGGCCAAGAGTTTCCTTCTAAGGTGCTGTTAGCAAAACAAATATCATGAATGTATCTTCATATTCAAATAATTGACTAAGTGATTCTACATTTATGGTCTGTGGCACTCTAGTTATAAGCAACTGTTGAAAACTACTTTCAATAAAAGGTATAGTTAGTTCAAATTTGGGTTATAAAGCATTTAATCAAAAATAAATTTCATGTATATTTGAATTTGAACTTTGTGAATCTCTTAATTGGCTGTGGAGTTGATAGAATTTGTAATTTATATAATGAATAAAAGAAATAATAAATATTATAACATGACTTAGAAACTTTTTTCCTTTCACTTTTAAAGCAGTATTGTTTAATAGCTGCATGTTGGTAGGAGAAAAACAGCTTTAACTGATGGTGTTAACACAATCCAACTTTCTCCATCAAAAGTCTTTTACAGTTTGGTGTCTCTTTATTTACATAACAAATGAATGATGAATTTGGTGAGAGTATAAAAAATGTTTTCTAATTTGACATCACTTAAAGTCAATAGTTGATGAATGTAAAAAACAAAAAACTGCTAAAATCTTGAATATTTATTGAATCAAGTGAAAGAGGTAAAGTTTTTTTTTTTTTTTTTTTTTTTGTCAAAATTTCAATGTGTAATTAAATGAGGAAAACTTAACTTTATTCAATCATGTTAAAAATTTTAAATTTCAATTGACGGTTTAATATTAGAATTTTTAACTTACAAATCCCAAAATTTCTTGTAAACAGATTTGGTGGTCTGAAAAGCAAAAACAAAACTTGAATGTGTATGGCATTTTAAAAAAATGTTTCATAAGATCATCCCATAAGTAATGCTCAAAATCTGATAGAAAAAAAATCTAGTTATAAGCAACTGTTGGAAACTACTTTCACTTTTTTTTTTTTTTTTTACTAAAAACTGTTCAGAAAACATAGTGCATCTCTTAAACTGATGCTCTCAACAAGCCAATTTTGTTTAGTTTCATTCAGATCTGCAATGGCTTTAGAAATGCAAACCCCCATTTGACAGAAGCTGAGTATAAAGTCAGACTGAATATCCGCAATTTTCTGCACTCTACTGAATCCATCTTGTTATTGAAAACATTAATGACTGCTGCTGATGAAAAAGATATCTTACAAGAACTTATGCTGACAAAGGGCTCAGTGAGGCAATCAGGCTAAAGTATATTGATCCCAGCAACGTTTTTGTAATTTGTAGGATTGCATTACTATGGTTCATATTGACAGACATCTTTTATAAGCAGTAAAAAGTGCATTAAAAGAAGGCCAATTTGTTCAATTACAACAGGGCGTTATATCTATCATCATAATTCATACACGCCATACAATAAAGGTGACCAAAGACTCCAGCTGGGGAAAATATATCACACCCTCTTTGCTCTCCAGATATTGCTCCATCAAGTTACCACAGATTCCAGTGTATATAGAATGGTTTTGATTGGCTTGTTCTTAAAGTGTGCAAAACATTGGAATGTCTCTTGACATTATTTCTCTATAAAAGCAGTGTTTTGAAGCTTGTAAATCATTCGATGGTACTCCTGTTAACTACATTTTTTTTTTTTTTTTCCTGATCTTAAATTCATACATTACTTCTAGGATGACCTGATACTTTTTATATATCACAATTTTAAGGGAAACAGGTTTGGGTGATTGACAGGAGTTTTCACTTACCTGTACATGCCAGGATTTTCTCTGCATCATTTCATTACCTGGAAATGAATATTAAATTTTATTTTTGTAAGGGAGTGATCAACCAGTTTCAAAATAGTGTATCTACATTAAAACAGTTTAGATGTAAAATATCAGCCTGTATTATCCTTTTTGAATAACTGAAGATAAATCCTTGACTATTTGTACTCTTCAAACTAAAAGCTTTATTTAGACTGGTGGCTGCTTTTGTCAAGATGAGCATTTACATTCAAACTTGTAAAATATGACAAAGGCTTCTTTTTTGTTCTTATGAAAAATTTGCTAGATTAGTCCAAAAATATCCTTAGACATGGGCAGTGGAATGAGAAGTCTCTCTTCATAGATGAAATAAAGGGTTCAGTTCAGAATTCACTGTAGATTAGCTGGATCAACATATATACCCAATGAAGGCAAAAGATGCCAAAACATAATTAAATAGTGAAAATAATAAGAATTAAGTTTAGAAATGGTAAAGATTTATTTTAGAAAAGGTGAGAGATGATAACCAAGAAATGAAGTTGTGTAGTGTTTATAAAAATTTTGTACTAAATTCTTTCGATAGCATTTTTTTTTTTTTTTTTTTTTTTTTACAGAACTGATATTTTGAAATCCGTCACTTTTTTATATATATATATATATATATATATATATATATATATATATATATATATATAAAATTATTTCTTGTGCAGTGTTACATTAGAACATGCACATATCCACAACATCAAAAAAAAAAAAAACCTTTTTAAAATGTCTCATCAGGTGGGGAATCTCGATTTTCCTTTATTCCTTTCTTTTTTTTGCCTACAATTACTAATGACTTAGATTCCTTTCCATCTCTACATGTAAATTCTAGAATACCTTTTATGAAAATTTCCAAAGGACAGAAGTAGGTGATATTTGCTTTGATAACTGTATTTCTGAATAAAAGTCTTTAGTAACATTGTGATTCCCCACCTGAGGGGACGTTTTAAAAAAAAAGAAAGGTTTTCCTTTTTTTGACATTGAAACAAAAATGTACAATTTTATAGTGGATATGTGCATGTTCTAAAGTAACACTATGAAAAATAAATAAATATTTACGGCTTTATTTTTTTTTTTTTTTTTTTTTTTTTATTCATCACTGTTTTTAAATTAATGTTTTGAATGCTGAGATCTTACTGTTCGTTCTTCTACACTTTTTACACACACACACTATCAACAGTCATAAGTTACAACTGAATAAAGTGAAAAATAATACCTGCCAATGTTTTCACTTCTTGAAATAAACACTAGAGAATCTTAACCATCTATCAATCTTGATAGTCAAGAGATTCTTTCTGTCCAAATTCTCTTCCATCACAACTACTTTTGAAAATGCTTAATCTCACTTTTAAAAGAGTTTACTTTTTATAATAGATAAATTAAGTCATTGTTAATAATCTCAAATCTTTTTATATCAAACTACCCTATCAAAAATGATAGCATATATGAAATCAATGTTTTGTTAACCTAATAAAAGAACTTATCACATTTGAGTCTTTTAGATGGATTTTTATCCAGTTATTTTCTTTTCACCTTCTGGTTTTGTAAACATCTTTGAACAGTCCATTGTCATAACATCAGCACAACCACATTATGTCACTTGTACAAGATTGATAACTAAAACAGCCAAAATTTGACAAAAAAATATACAAATACTAAATTATTTTATATACATTACATGCATATTAATTAAAAAGGTTTCAACTTGGCTTTCATAGCTCTTTGAAATTTGTATATCATCAGTAAAAGGTCATTATTTTTCTTTTTACAATTTGAAGGCTCAATGTATTTCTAAGTAAATCCTGATAACTCAGATTTATTTACAAGATATGTAAGTTTCATTATTTTTTTTTTTCCCATATAGAAAAGATATTGATTATTTTTGCAGTGACTCTTCATTTGTTATGATAATTTTCCTTAAAGTGTTAAGTGGAAAAAAAAATGGATAATCACCTGCTGCTAACTTTCTGAAAAGGAAACTGAAAAATTTAGTCTCTGTTCTTAAGACAATAGTTACAGGGATATTGATTTTTCAGGTTCAATCAAAAGCAGAGAGACTATTATAGGATCTGCTGGGATGTTCAGCTATGGTAGATCCAATTGGCTGTCCTGTGTCTGTCTGTCTGAACAGTTACAATTAATGTGACATGGTGATAAGCTCATCTCACAAACCAATTCACAAGTGGAGTCAATTCAATCCTCATTAAGTTTCACATTGTTTTATTCTAGTAAAGAATCACATTGCACTTTATGACTGGCCTGTTGATAATATTTCTTATTGTGCAAGAGTAAGCAGTTTCATTCAACTGACAATATGAAAATTAAATTTCTGTCCTTTGATTTGGCCAATGTTTTTATCTATTTGCAATGAGAATGTGTTTAGAGTATCTTAGGAAGCAACATATGAATGGAAAGTAGGCACTACTTAAATAGACTGGTCTATTCATAAAAATAGTGGGAAAAATTTTTGGTGGGTGAGGATTTTTGTACATTAGCATAAGACCTTTGTGATATTTGTCAGAATTGAAAAATATTAATTCACTCAGCTGTTATTTAAAATAAGTTTCAAAATGACATTAATATTTGCATATCTTTCTTAATTTTCTGAATTTTTAAACTTTTTATTTTTTATTTTTTTTCGCAAAAGCATGTTCAGAAACATTTAAGGTTTATAATAATTTATCTTAAATTAAGAATGAAAAATCAACAGATAAATAATTTTAATTTATGTAAATTTTTGTTTAATTAAAAATGTGTGTATGTTTGTTATTTAAGAAAAATCTTTTTGTATGTAAAACAGTTAAGGCCAATAACGTAAAATTCAGGTATCATTTTGACACTGTATTGATATTATGAACAGGACCACCTCCCTTTTAAATAGATATCAATACTTTTTGATTCTGACTAGTGTTACAGCCTAAGCAAGGTCAAAAAAGTATTAATCTACAAAAATTATTTCCACCCAAAATTTTACTGATATTTTCAAGTGGACTAGTATTTTTAAGTATTGTGGCACCATTTACGAGGCAGAGAAAAGAAAAGAAGGCAGAAAGAAAGGCGAGACGAATCGTGGGTGATCAGCAGAACACACACACGGCTAAGAGACAATGAATATATTGATAAGTAACCATGGCGAAAGGGTGTCATTACAATGACAGGGAAATTCTGGGTAAGAAGAAAGGGAAAGAAAGAAAGAAAGAAAGAAACAGATGTGTTTTGATAACGGCTGTGTTATCTAGGAGTACGTAAACAAAACGGCTGCTCGACTGGCCAACGAAAAATTCAATTGAAAACGTTAATTTTGATAATTGACAAAACACAGGTGTAACTACAGGACTTTGGGTAGATATGAAAAATTAAAAACCACACAAGCCGTGTCCGCTGATCGAATTTTTTTCGACGAAACAACTCTGGCCTGCGATAATAAAATTATGTTATCAGAAATATGTACCGAAGGAAAATGAATGGGGACCCAGAAGTGTTTTTTCTTCTTCCTTGGAGGCGACAGACTGACTGAAATTTTAGAGATAATTCTTTTTTGAGGCTGTGTTAAGAAGACCACCCATTTTGATAATTAGCGATAAAATACCTGACAAAAACCACGTGTAGAACAAGAGTTGTCATATTGTCCGTTTGCGGCTAGAAAAATGATAACAACGATTAAAGCGGAAGAAAAGGGAAAGAGAAGAGATAATTTTTTTTTTAGTTAAGCAAGATATTTTTTTTTCCCGAAACAAAGCCGCGGAATCGTTCACGCCCGACTAGAACATCATTGGTCAAGTGGTGATCACGTGACGCACGAAGGAGGAGGAAAGATACTCGACTAAGACCTCATTGGCCGAGTGGTGATCACGTGACGCCGCGAAGTAGGCTGTCGACGCCTCATCCAGAGTATAAGTATGAGAAGCTGCTACGAGGAAGTGGGGAGGGCAGTTCACGCCCCTCAGAAGTATGGTGAGAAAGTGGGAGGAGGAAAGGTTCCCAAAAATGGAAAAGAGTGGAAAATCCCTAACCAGAAATAAAAGAGGTGGATATGTATTTAGAATTATCGAGGAACCCCCCGACGCCGACAGACCCACCCCGGTTTTGGTCAGCGTCAATAAAAGCGAGGCCCCAACAGGCAGAAATCAGAGTTCGAGTTGGAGTTGCAGCAGAGAGTTCGAAGCTCGCAGTGGAAGACTTCCGCCTCGCATATAGCTGACCAAGATTCACGCAAAATTCCGGACTCCTCTTCAACCCAAGAACAATTATTTTGAAGAGTGACTCAGAACCAGACCAATAAGTTTTTTTTTTCGACTTTTGTCCAAAGACACACCGAAACGCCAATTTCTTAGAGAGCAAACAACTTGAAGCGTTAAAAACTTGCCTAACGGAAAACGACGTGTCACAATCCACAGAACGAGTCGGGAGATAGATGCAGTCCTATGTACCGAACAACTAGACATAAAGTTTGTTACCTTTTTCTTTGATACTTTGAACTTTTTGAGTTTTCATTTTTTTTTTTATGCATATTTGTGTAGTATCACCCCGTTGAACTCAGTTTGCATTACGGCCCCAACCACTGTTTGATCTCGTCTGTCTAAGATCAATTCACAACGTGGGTAGGCAGACTGGAGATCAATGTAGTTACCTTGGTAACCAGGCATTGGAAGCGAGTTGGGAACGACGAGGCTGATATCAAATCTAACCAGATTCCCACCCGAATCACCAAAAGGTTAGAATGTCACATTTGGGTGCTGCGACCGATACCAAGCCAGTTGGTCGTCACAGGACGAGACAACACGACTGACGCGACAGGCGGACGTCACGTTTGGAGCAGCGACACCCGAACGGAGCAGCGAGGAGCGAACAGCTGGCGCCCATGGCGAGGACGTCAATTGGTGCTGTTTGGGGACGTCACAACTGGCGCCGTGGTAGATCAGGATAGAACGTCACAGTCGGCGCTGCGACCGGGGGACGACGTCACAGTATTGCTGGAAATTATGTGGCCTCATTTTGGGTTCTTGTTTCTTGCAAACTGTTGGATTTTGAGATTTTAAAAAAGAAAAGTTTATTGGCTAATTTAAAATGTTTCCTTGATAAATGTGATGAAATATTTCAAGAAAGTAAAATGGAAACCTGTGCTGAGAAAAGGCAATTGTTTTACAAACCAGGTTTGGTTGTGTTATGTAAATTGATTTCTTTTACTGACACTCCAGGTGATGATGTATGGCTAATCAAAGTCAAAGCTGGAGACTGAAAAAGAAATTGGAATAAATGAAAATTAGTTGTCATGTAGATAAGGTGTATGTATGTATGTATCTAGTAGTGCTGTTTTTTTACGAAAAAAAAAACATGTGTATAAGTACTTTTAAATGTTACAATGTAAGATAGAAATTTGAGGTATTGAGAAAGTAATCTTAAAAATGTTAGAAACTGAAATTAATTTTTATATTGCAAAATGTGTCCAGTTAATGATTTTGAGAACTTATATCTATATGCAAACAAATTATATTTAATTAAATGAAATATACTCAGTACTTAAAATAAATTTTATTTATTTCTTAAAAAGTCAGAATTATTTTCTGAAAATAGGTTTAGCAATAGAAAATATGAAAGTAGTAGTTGTATCATCAAGAAATACATACAACAAAAGGAGAAATACTAGTGGCAGCCTTAGAGTTCATAAGGTATCGGGCTCTTCTCTTTAGCATTCTGGAAAGAAACAGGAATTCCAATGATTAGTTAAATATAAGATTAAAACCAAAAGGAGTCTCTTACCTAATTGACAAGTGAAATAAATTTTAAAATCTCTCAATTGAAAGTTTAAAACTATCAGCTATTTTTATTTTAATCTAAAACTATACACTGCCATATTAACAAGTAATTATAAAAGTACCTCTTGAAAAGTATATTGTAATTAAAATCGAAGAAATTTTATTGCTTGGGAATTATTTGATATATATCTATACCTACCTTGGGCACTTGGATGTATTTTAATGTTTAGCAAGCTTGTCTTGATCAGTTACAACTAAATAGTGAGCTTGATCCTCACTGGGTGACCTATCATTTGGTTTAGTATTTTGTTAAGTAAACTATAATGGCAAATTAAGGCTTTCTATTGGATAAGTTAGAAGTCACTAAATATCAGCTGTTAAATCTGGCATGGGCAACCTTTTCCGACAAGTGGGACGCATCATAAGGTGAGGTGCTCTATTAAAAAGATTCAAGGTAATTTTTTCATTGAAGGTGCTTCAGCCATACACATTTTTTTCATTGAAGGTGCTTCAGACCATACACATAATCATCTGCTTTAGAAATGGGAGAAAGATCTTTTTCTTTTTTTTTCTTTTTTTGGTAAGAGATTTCTAAATAATTAAAAACTGAAGTATCTCTATAATAAAATATGGATGATAGCAATTAATACACGCTGTTGCATGTGATTTGTTTCTTATTTATTCAAAATAAAATAATATATTTCTTCTCTAGAGAAAAAAATATGTTTGTTTCGAAATTCAAATATCTATATATCTCATTTTCCCAATGGTTTAAAATGTTGACAATGTTACCTTCAATGAAAAGTTACAAAATTCAAGAAACTTTGTATTTAATCTCATTGTTAATGTGAGTGTGGGCGAGTGAACAAGAACAAAAGGAAACCAACAACATTTTTAATAAACATTTTCCTCATGAAAATCAGAGAAGCATTTAGAAAGCAAAACAGGATGCAGGTTGCTTATGATTGTTTTAAATCAATGGGATCATAATTATGAAATATTTTGGGACCAATATATGTAGGTGCATCAGTAAAAGTGTTAATGATGAAATGAAAGCATTTTTACTTAAATATTTTCAACATAATCTCCTTTTTTCAATGCCCATAACTCAATATTTCCATTGATCAAATAAATTGAACACTATACAATGAAAACTTTAGATCAAAGTTCAGCAAAAATCCCTGTCAAGCTACAAATTTATCGAGTTACTTTTGTATGCAATCTTGTCTAGCCTATAAACAAAAATAGTAATTGATTTAATAATAAAAATAAACCGAAATTTAACTCCACTTATCATAACGTAACAAAAACATTTTGATTTTGCAAAGAATTGATAGTAAGATTATTTGGAAAATGTTAAGTTGCATGAAACATTTGACTTATTTAAATTCAGATAATTTTTGATGATTTTCTCCCTGATCTTGCAACAAGGACATGAAATAGAAACAAATTCATTAAATTTCTTCCTACCTGCATTTCTTTCTTGGATCATAACAGTTATGATCTTCTCCCCCTGCAAATGAGGTACTGATTATAGCCGGTACATTAGACAGTTTTGAATTTGGAGGATAATTTTTCCTTCTAGGAATCTCAAAAGGCATGACTGATTTCTCAGTTTCATTTTTCTCTGAGAAAGGATAAGATATCTGTATGTCATCATCATCATTTTCATTCTGCATCTTGTATTTGTTTGTACCACAATATTGACTGGAATGTAATTCTTTCAACTCCTTTTCAAATCCTAACATTCTTACTTTCATCTCATTATTGATGTGTGATATTTTCAAGAAGACTTCCTTGAAAGACTGGTTGTAGCTATTGTTCAGGTCACAGAAAGCATTCTTTAAGTCAAGTCTCAGGGTCTCATTCCAAAGGTTCATGTTTCTCTCAATTTCCTGTTTCTGTTCTTTGTAAAGTTCAACAAACTCTTCATGAAGGTGTTCATAAAATTCTCTAGAACAACTTTTAAGGATATCTTGGATTTTTATCAGTAATTCCATATTTATATCTGCATTCATTTCTTTAGTTTCTGAAACTATATCTTGTGAAGATATTGAAATCCTAAACAAAGAGAAAAATATATTTTACTGTGATGAACCAACTGCAGCAGCTGAATTTGTCTTTGGATATGAGTCATATGATTAATGAAGAACTAGCAACTACTAAAGTTTAAATTCAGTCAGTCTCCGACCCCCCTCCACAACTTATCAGTTCACCACAAGCAAGGCAATAATGCCACTAAGATGCAAGGAGTGACTGGGAGTGAAAGAGAATGAGAAGACATGAGAAGGAACTGGAAACATGATAAAACTTTACTTCTGTTCAAGATACTGGGGAGGAGTGTGAACCGGATGATAGGCAAACAAATGTAATTGACTCTCAAAGTTTCCAAGCTCTATGAAAAAAAAAAAAAATAATACCACTAACAAAGCTTACATACACAGTCACTGAAAGCTTTTTACCTCTTAGTATGTAGTTTGTGAGTAAAAGAATATTTAAGAATGTTTATTTTTTATTTATTTATTTTTTTTTTTATAAGTTGCTTCTGAAAATTTTTTACCCCAACCCACTTCCAAAAGTCAGGCTTCTGATGTTTGGACATTATAATAGTAATTTGTAGAATTGAATTGGGCTGAGAATTGTGTGTGTATGTGTATATATATATATGTGTGTGTGAAATGCATTAAATCCAACAAATATTTTAATTCCTGTTTATACATTTTTTTTTTTTATGGTTACATTTATTTGAGTAAATGCTCTGTTTTTTAATTAAACTATATTAATTACATTTACTGGACTGAATATTACAAGAAATTTTGTAGAAAATATGCGCCCTCCAACAGGAATTGAACCTGTATCCTGTATGGAACCATCAGTTAGCAGTAATTTGACCATTGCTAAATTGGAAGTTCTCTATGGCTGAATGGTCATAGCACATCAGGCTAAATGATAGTTCTATATATATATATCTTCATATATATATATATATATGTTTTATTACTTCTTTTTAAATTCTTGTTAGTAACATATGCTCATGGGGAGTGTCACTAATCATCATTTGTATTACTTCAATGTTTAGGATATTACACTCTTGTGGATGTCATTCTATTAAATTTTTTATCAGAAAATAACCCTATTTTTTTTAAATGACTATAAATAACAACAATATTTCTTGAACTATTATTCCCATGTATTTAGTTTATTGTGTAGTGTTTAAAAATCAAAAAAGAAACTACCATTTGAGAATTCCTTCCAACATGCTTCCTACTTCAGAAAGACAGCCACAGTGGATAACAACTGAATTCTCTGCTTGAAATTCAAGCTTTAAAACTTCTAACTGCAATTTTCAAGATTATTTTTACATTTTAGCATTTAAATTTTATAGTATGCTATACAACATTGTGACCTGTTGGGCCACACTTAGAAAATTATAACAGTGGGTAAGAGACTTTCACTGAATTTAGACCTTTGCTGATACATTTTTTTCTGTATAAAGAGATGGTGATGCTAGTGCATTGAGATTTTTTTTATTCATCTGTTAATAAGGACTATTACTCTATATAATGTCCTGTGTCCCCCTTATATGCTCTAGACTGATTGAGCTATGAATAACTTAGCCAATCAGTGTTAATCTTCTTGTCATAGACTCTCAAAATGTTTAAAAATCTTGCTGGAGAACACGTTTCTTTAATAAGATTTCTAGAATATTCAGACCAGTAGACAAAAATAAAATAAATAAATATACTGTTTAATAAATAAGCGGAATGTCTATTCAAATATGAGTATCCGCTAAAAATAACATTTAAAGTGAAAAGAACTGTCAGATTAATAAGTAAAAAATCTATTACTTCTTTAGAAAATTGCTTTGTTTACATTTGGATACAAAACTGAGTAGATGTGAAAATTTTCAGAGTCTATGACAAGACAAATTTTGCTTGAAGGCACTACTCTGCCTTGCATGATCTGCTAATTTCTTCATAGCTCAGTCAGTTTTGAGCACATTGGATCTATATAATGTGCATTTAACAGCTCTCTTGAAAAAATAATTTTTTTTCTATCTATAGATAAGCTTAAACAGAGACAACACAATCATATCATTCATTTGTAAATCAACAAATAATAAAAGTAATAAAACCATTTCTAACTTATATATTACTGACATAACTTCATAATAAAATACCTATTCGAAGAATAATTCCATATCAATGGAATCAACTTGTATCCGTGCAAGCTCAGCTGAGAAAATGTAAACATTGAGTTATGATTGCGTTCACAGCAACCATTATCTTTTGCTAAATTTTCAATAATCATCATGGTAGTGTTAATTATGACAGTAATAACATTTAATATAACATTTATTTCGCATTAAAAATTCATTATTATTTTGGTGTTAAATAATAACACAGTTTAGGATTACATACAACCTTTAATTTTCATATAGGAAAAGAAGAAGAATCGGTATTTGAAAGAGATCACGTGATCAAAAAACGTAAAGAAAAAAATTGTTTCTCTTTTAGGAGACGTGTTTAGGAAAAAACATGATATAGAATCAGTTTTGTTATTTTGTTTATTTTGAATTTTATACTACAGGTATGGGATAAATTCATGAAAATTTGCCAGATTTTTTTGACCACGTCTTATCTAAAGGTTATCTTATATGTGAAAATATACAGTATATTATTTAAAATTTGCTATATTTATGGAGTAAGATATTGTGCTTGCAGATGTAGACTATGTGAACATAGAAATCAATGCTGCATAGTGACTGGTAGTTTCATGCCTCAAGTGATTATTATGCCAAAAAAAAAAAAGACACTGATGATTGTTTGAAACAATAATTTTCTTAACCACATTATAGATAAAGTAACGTTAGAAAAAATAGAAAATATTAATATAAATAATAATAATAATAATAATAATGATGATACAGAAAAATATTCTACAGAAACAAATTGACACTATAATAGATATATATCCCCCTATCAACAAAAAGAAAACTCATTTCTAACTACAAAAAAACTAAGACCTTTAACATGATCACCACCAACAATAAAAACAAAAATAGCAAAACTTCAGCAGACCGAATTTATCTATAATGTCATACTATTTGTTGTTACTACAGTAAAATAAAACCCAAGAAAGTTTTCTTATCAATAGAAAGTGTTATGTACTGAGAAACATTGAAATGAGAAAGGTTAATACCAAAAACCTGCGGGAAGAATTGAGGATTTAATTCACACATAAATGACTTAAATTCTATGTTGACCAGTTTGAACAATGGAAAAGTAACCCAGCTATAGGGGGCAATGTTGATTGACACACAGCTGCAAATGCAAGCTGTAAAATGAAAATCTCATTTTTTCATAAACAATGAATTTGGAGTTGTTTCCCCTGATTGAAAGTTGAGTTAAAATACGAGGAGGGGGTAGATAAGCCACCAACACTCACTGAGGAGATTTAGTGAGAGGTAATAATATATGAGAGTGGAAGAAGGGAATTCCCCAGAATTATCAAATTCTCTTACTTTGCCAGTTTGGGAAAATGTCCATAAATACAAATGCACAAAGCAAATTAGGCTGAAGAGAGAAGAGATGGAGATGAGACCAGAGACAGGAGAGAGGTCCATGTGATTATCTGCTGCTGAAAGCCTCTGACTTCAGCCTTGTGCCAAACTTTACCAAAGCAGCAAACCAGATTTTGCCAGGTCAACAATAAACTCACTTCTGATTTAGATGTGGGTTGGGCTGATAATTAATTGCATGCAAACTCTGACCTAAACCAATTATTGTATGGAGGACTGATATAAAAACAGCATTTACTTTTGTTCAATGTATTTGAGTGATATTTTTTTTCCCTTTGACCAGCCCAACACAAAAATACCTGCGATGATTTGAACTTGGCCTCCTTATGATCAAACTTAAATCACAACGTGGGATAAGGCAGATCTTAGTTTGAAGCAATCTTCATCAATCAGCCACTGTGTTGGAAATCTTGGCTGACCAGGGAGGGTGTTGCACGATTACAGTAACATTCTTGCTTAGAGAATATTGAATTCAAAAAATCAATCACTATTGCTATTTAACTTGCTATTTATCTGATAATAATTAAATTGCATATCACCAACACAAGAAATTTGACAAGTACTTATATTGCAAAATTATGATACCATATAAACTGTAAAAAATGACTACAAATACTAGAAGCCTTAACCATAAAAAATGAACAACCCTGTATCAATAAAATGTCATTCAATGTAGGAACAAACATACCAGATACATTTCACAATTATAAAAATAAAAACAAATGACACAATTCCACAAACTGACACGTGAAGATGCAACTGCAAAAAAACATCAATGTATGAAGACACATCATTCAAAAATCACCATAGATACATAATGCATATCTATAGGCTTGGCACAACCCTAGCAACACATCCAAAATTCTTTGATTATTGTTTTTTGAAAGCTGAAAAGATTGGACACAAAGATAAAAACACTCATCAGGCCATCTGATAGTTTTATGCTTGCTTAAGATGTGAAACCATTAGACATCATGCAGTGTTGATTTCTATGTCAACACTGTTCATATCTGCATACACTTTATCCCAATATTGAACTTTTTTTTTCCAATTATATAGCAGAGATATGTGTGTGTATATACACATACACATGTTTTATTGAAATCAACTGACAAGTCCTCGTTTAATTTTTCATTGCATTTTTCCAGATTGTATATAAGCAGTCTCACATTTAGATCAAATTTGGGGATAAATTCTCCAGTGTTCATGATGATTTTGCTCAATCAATTTTGACTTTGTCATTATCAGTAGTTACAGTAGATAAATGTTTTTATTAGCTTCATCCTGGCAGTTTTTTTTACAAAACTATAATTTTAATTTAAATGAACATGTATTGAATACAAGTAATGTTATGTATAGGATGGTTTCAGTTTGTAAGTATATAATAATCAAAAAACAACATTAAATTCTAATATTGGGTACATAACCACCAGACTCTCTTTCATTGCCACTTATCAACGTTTGGTGCAGTTTTTACACAAAAACAACATAAGTATAAATATTAGACAATTACTTATAGGTAATGCTAAAATACTGTATGTCATTAATTATAAAGAAAAACTCAAAGTCATACTAATGAAGCCCACCCACATTAAACACAATATATTTAACCATAGGGGAAGGTATTTTAAATTTTGTTCAAAATATTTTAACAAATTTAATAATATTTTGATCTTTAGGTACCTGCTGGATTCATTTAAAAAAGAAATTAAAATGTAGATCCTTTATATATACTTACAAACTGAAACCCCCTCTACATATTTGATTTGGATGTGAGTCAGTTTATATACAATCAGGAAAACTGCAATAAATAAATAAACAAAGGCTTGTCAGTTGATTTCAATTAAACAAGTGTACTTTATCTCTCTCTCTCTCTCTGTATATATATATATATATATATATATATATATATATAAAATAAATAAATCTCTCTCACACAATTATTAAATACAGCAGATGAAGTACACTTTGTAATTTTTTTATCTAGTTTCTCTTGCTACAATGAAACAAATGGTTGAATCAAGACAATGCAGGAATTGTCAATAGTACTTAATTCTAGTGCTCTCGATTATTCACTGTTCATCTTCACTGCTACTGATATGACTAGTTGGACAGACAACTCCTCTCTCTTCCTTAAGTGTCACGACCTCATAAGTTTTCATTTTTTTTTCTTCCCATTCAGTCAAGTGGGTTGCCACCTTGAACATCAAATTCAAATCTTCCGGCCATAAAAAAAAAAACACTTCTGACTACAATAATGTCATTTAGGGCCCACTTGACTTTCTGTATGTTCAGCTAGTTGCGTGGGGGAACTATTGTGCCATAGTGTAACAGTGACTCTGAAAGTGAACCCAGTAACTTGGATTTGAATTCTAGCCAAGTTTGTTACATTCATTTTCACATAAATACCTCCTCTTCCCCCAGTTATGGGTTAAATATTAGGGCTGAATAGGTTCTCTTGATTTGAGGTGGCAACTAGTTTAAGAGAAAAAACTGAATTCAAAATCAACCTGGAAAAAGATGGACTCTGTTAGACTCTCTTGCCTAGACCAACCACTACTTCTATAGCTACAATATATTTGGTGCCCTTATGACCTTAATGGATTATGGGACTTGATGATACTTATTCATCAGTCTTTTTTCTCTCTCAGATAGTTATACTATGTAAGTATTGCAAATATTACAAGAGTATTAATACAAATGTACAACTACAGGTAGGAAGATTGTGTTGCTTCAGCTTTATAAGTTAAGAATGGCTTAGCTGCCTTGAAAATTAGCATTCAATACCTTGGCTTTCACTTGTGCTCAAATATTGACAGTTTGTGTTGGTAAGAAATATGGAATTACCTCAGCCACTAAGCATGCCAAGAGAGAAAATGTCAAGAAAAGAATGAAAGGGAAAAAGGAAGAAGGAAAGACAGCTTGATATACATATAACTATTACAGTAAAAATTATTTCAATCCATGAATGTTAACTATATTGGATGATTCAAAAGTTTACATTAATTATAACTGAGCATCTATGTTAAAAATCAAATCAAACCTTTTTTCTAAATCCTTGAAGGCTTTTTGTACAAAGGTTTTTAGAGAAACAAATTCTTTTTTTTGATTTTCCAAAGTTTTCAAATCAGAATCAAAACTTCTTATGGGTTGATTCCTTTGTTTAGTAAAAGAAGCTGAAAGTTTCTGCAAACTGTCATTTATATATGACTTGTAGGCTGAAAGTTTTTCTGTTATTATTTCTGTAATCTTGAATTCAAGGCAATTTTGAATTTCCAAGGATTTCATTTGCTCATTAAGAACATAAAGCTGATGCTCTTTCTGCAGAAATAAAACAGAGAAGAATAACAAAATAGAAAGTGAAAAAGAGGAAATGTTATATAAAAGAGATTGAAGAAAGTTTTAAAAGATGAAGTGCCAAAAAGATAAAGGAAAATGGATAGAAGTAAATGAAAAGAAAATACGAGAAAAAATACAGACAAAAAAATGATGGCCTTATTACCAAATTTCAATCAATGTAAGATGTTAATATAATATTAAGGTGGTAGAATATAAGCCATTTGAATAGAAAATGGAAGTTCATGAATAGTTTCATTGCTTTTTGCCATTTTGTATAAATACAAATTTATTTTTAATATATTTAAAATAAAGAAGCTATTCTGAAGTGAAAAAGCACATAAATTACTTTTCAAAATTAGTCAACTAAAAACAACCAACCAGTATAAGATAATTTGTTTATTAACAAACTAATCAAGAAGAGATGGGTATTGACTGATACATATTTAACTGTCAATCAATTTAATGGAGTGGCATAGGTTGGCTGTTTTAAATGTTGTTATTTAAGCAATAAACTTACCTCAGCAATTTCTTGTTTGTGTTGATTATTGACTTCAAAGACTGATAACAGTTTTTCATGTTGTTTTTGGAATTCATGTCCAACTTTAAAAAGAAAATTGAAAACAAATTGAGAATAAATCTGAAAAAAAAATTATCAAATAAAATTAAGTTTAAGTTTTAGGTTTATTACATTTAAACTACAACTGGAAAAAATGTGCTGCAAACATTTTACTGGCAGTCAATTGTAATAATTATTCAACAAATCTTTTGAATAATCTAAAAGCATAAATCTGTTTCATCCATCAACTGACAATATCTAGGCATTTAATATAAACTATTTCCATTTTTATGTTGCATCAAATTCTCATTTAATATCAAGTTGCTGACAAAACTTCAAATATTATGATTCATATAGTTAGGGCTGACATTTTGTGTAATGGAGACAACATCAAACATGCACTTTCACCAGCCGAGTTTAAAATTTGTTTATACTCTACTAATTTTATTTGTATTTAGTCTTACAAACTTAGTTTTACTCTTGGAGTTTAGGTTCCCAGTAAAAAGTTGTTTTTGGTTAAAACTTATCCTGAATTCATTAATAACAAGAAATTTCTTGATTTCAAACAAATATCTTTTGTCTAGCAGTTTGTCAAAAACCTGTCATACCCCCAATATGTATCTTCTTTTACAACAATAAGTTGTATATAATCAAGGCAGAAAGAATAGGATTATCTCAAACCTAAAAACAGTCAAATAAATTTGGTAAAACATAAGACACAAATGGAATGTCAGTCTTATGAATCAGTGTTTCCTTTAAACTTTTGGAAGTGACTTTTGTTTGTGAAAATGTAAGACAAATCAACTCAACTGTTGATTGTGCAACCAAAGCCAGAAAAAGATACATTAGCTTCTTGAATGTTCTCAGTAATTACAGCACACAAATACTTGAATTCTAACATAAGAAATGGTACATTGAGGAAACATTTGGCATAGCCCCCAACAGAAGAGGTAGAATTAAAGCAGTATTAATATGGTGCAACAGCAGTATTAGTAATAATACTAGTACTTTCTATAAAATCAGTATTAATTAATCATCATTAGCAGAAATAATACAATTCTGCATTGTTTCTAGTTATACTTTCTACTTTGTATAGATATTAATAGGAATCTATGACATTTAAGTTTCAGACTGTTTTGTAAGAATCTGGCACACAGACTACAGCCTTATTTATTATTAGCAAAATAAACCACCTCTAATTATTGATGTACAGTTATTTACTATTTTGTAGAAATAAAACGCATAACATTGTAAAAAACTTTACTTCTATTGTATTAATAGTCATAAAAATTCAATAACATTTAACTAATTACAAAACAATTTGAGATGAATCTTATTAATACTTTATATCTCAAGCTTAATCCATGTTATTAATAAAATAAGATTAGACATGTGAAACATCAAAGTGCAATATGCAAAATGACCAAGGGAAACTCTGTGCAAAGTGAATAAATGAGAAGCTTACATCTTTCACTTATTTGCTCCACATTTCCATCATTTTTGGAAAGTAATTCACTGATGTTTCTGAATATTTGCTGTAAATTTTCTTTTACCTGAGAAAAAGAAAAATTGATAGGATACTTTTCAAAAAGTCGTTTGAATTGTTTGGTACTAATGCCATTCTGAGTAGATTTTGATAAAAATTACTAATACAAATATCCTTGAATAACCAATACAAAAGATTAAAAAAGAATAAACTTTAGATATAAAGTTGCAGAAGTTCACTACCTGCTTGTCATATGGATGAGTAGATAAAAACATTGCTTCAATGTATTTGGCTACCTGTTTTTTGTAAGTTTAATCCTGGGTTAGGCAGTAAAAGTCCTACACTGTGGTTTAGGAGAAAAAGCAAAAGTGGCATGACAAGGATGAATTAATCAATAGATACAAGATAGTGGAATAAGAACTATCTATACCCAATGAATTCAATAAAAAGTTAGATTTGAAATTCCCAGAATTATGAAATATGACAGACATCTGAAGAAGGTGTAGTGACTGTGAAATAATAATAACTCCCTTCACCCACTTCCTTCAAATTTGGAGGTCTGAGGAAGAAGTAGGAAAGGAATTTGTGAGCTTTGCCTTCCACAGAAATTAACTGGTGAGCTGAGAAAAAGAAGGAAAAGAATTCACAAACCTATGTGAAATAGTTTTTGGACCAATAAAAACCTTGACTTCACAAAAATTAGCCATTGAGCCAAGAAGAAAAAAGAAGGAAAGTGAATTTACTTAAAATTCATTTTGATATAAAATGAGGAGAAAAATTAATCAGAAAAAAGTGTCTGAAGTCATGTGAAAAGTTTCATTTCTATTCCTTATGACCAGCATTGAAGTTCTTGTCAATGTAAAATTACTTGCCAATTATATTATCAACCTCTAGCCAGTACACGGGACTTCAAAGAATTTTCTCTCAACAATCCAAGAAAGCTAAGTATTTCAAACTATCTCTCTTTGTCTACTTTTGAACATAAGTAAAGCATATATCTCTTCAGTGAGCAACAAACTCTCCTACCTTTCTTTTAAACATTTTTAAAATATTATTTTGTATCAGATCATTTAATCTGTTGTATGAACATTTCCTGTTCACAACAATTCATTAAAACTATGGACTTTAAGGATTCTGATTTATTTTCCTGAAATGACCTACTGACACTACTTCAAGCAAGTAAATTTGTGAATAAATTCCTTATCTTGTTTTGTTAAAAGTGCCCATGTGTTTCCTTGTCATTATCATCCTTCATTAACCTTCTTGGCATTGATAAACCAACTGTTCATTTTAACCCCTAAGCCCAATGCAACTATAAAGGCCAGAGGTTACAATGGTGGAAAGACTGTGATAAGAAACATACTGTAGATACAAATCCAAATAGATTGGTATACTAGGATTAAATTTGTATATCTATAAAAACAATTAAAATTTTGATGAATAATTTTGCAGATAATAAATTCATGTTGCAGGAGAACCAGTTGGATAAATATTGAATTCTAATCAATTTGCAACTATTTTGGGAAAATGTCCTTTGACCAAAGACAAAATTTTCAGTCTTAGAAGTTTTTTTTTTCAGCTAGTTGCATTTGTGAATTGTTGTTTCATTAGATTGAAGGGAATATCTTTTGATAAATAATTAAAAATGGAAACTGTTATAAAATCAAGACATTGTGGTGAATTTGCCAATAACTTGTTAATCATTCGCTAATGAGGAAATGTACCATATACTTCAGAAAAGTAATTAAAATGCCTTTATATTCATAACAAAGGTAAATGAATCAACCTGAATGTATTTCAAGATGTGAATGATTCCTCCTTTTAAAAGAATTTAAAGATTTATGACAATCTACAGAGATGATGTTATGATAAAATATATTTTTCTTTCAATTTGAAAAAAATCATATTTGATTCCTTAAAGAAAAACATAAAAACAGCTTCCTGGAAAAGAAATACTATGAAGGCAACTCATTATATATGAATTGCTTTTTGAATAAAACTGATGATCATCATCACACACACACATACACCTACACAAATTCAAATTTCAATAACAATCATTCATTGGATAGAAATCAATGCTGCTATCTTATGTGACAATTTTGAAATCGCTATATTTTCAATAGTAGATTTTGTCAAGAGCCTTCTTAGCTTAGTAAATATCTTTCGGGAAATATCAGCTTCTAATTGGTCAATAAACATACACATGGGCGTTGCAATCCACCCACTCACAATATATTTTTCTAGTGCATGACTAAGTCAAGTTTCTCGCCAAAGTGCTGTGATCCTGTCACATGATCTATAAAAACAAACACGAGTTTGCCTCTTTTTCTTTCTTCTCTATTCTTGCTGCAAATGTAGTCCCAGAGAATTATCATCTTGACCTTGCAGTCAGGCGTTAAAGAACATTACCAACATACACATATGTACAAACATTCACCAAAATACGAACGTTCACACACACAAACACACACACAATGTTAACTGTCTATGTGCTTTGTAAATGTTTTGTTTAATATATCGGTCTTGTTTGTTTGTCTTCCTTATCTTCAGTTGGACTTAATCCAAGTCCAACATTCTATTGTAGTTGGGCCTTCTAGCAGGAAATATAAATGCATGTGTTTTCTTTACATCTTCACCCACCAGTCCTCTACAAAACTTGTTAAATGTTTTTGTGCATTAAATAGGTTAAAATAATACTAGGCATAAAAAAAAAATGTTCTGAAAATTAATCTCAAATCAAATATCAAATGTTTTATCATCAAGTGGACTTTTGAATACACTTCTCTTTTACTTTCTTGCTAAAAAGAAAGCAAAATAACTATTTCATGTCTTATAAAAAAACAAACAATTATGTTGATTATTACAAAAATAGTATTAATAGTTACAATGATATGCAAATAGTTGTAAGAAAGATAATTTAAATAGTTATCATGTAAAAAGAAAACAAATATCATTTTTCATTAATTTTAAGCAAATTAATTAAAAAAGAAATCTTAAATAGATAGAGAACATTTGATACCAACCTCACTTGATGAATCTTTGATTGCATTGACAACAGCAGTTACCAATGTTCTAAAAAAAAAGAAGCAATACTAATACAGAGTTAAGCAGAAGTGAGAAATTTGTTCCGGCTTTACCACATGAAAGGGTTAAGGTTAAAGGTGATAGAATCGATAAAAACAACAATGGCTTGAAAGTTTAGATCAGACAATTCTCTCTTTTAGGTGAAAGAATAAAGACTCAAACCTCTGCTTGGGGTGTAACATAGAAGAAAAAAATGTTTATTTACCTACACAAAAAAGGTAAAGGGATATACACATAGATGAGAGAAAGAAACAGAGAAGAAAATTTCTTTAACTTAAAGGAAGAAAAAGTGTTCATATAAAGGCTTGCTCAAAATATTTCTCTGAGTGCCTAAGAGTTCTTTAAGCAAGTAAATTGTTCTTAAAGGGTTAACACTCACATAGATTTCTTCAGAGCTTTTGTTGAAAGGGAAACAGTTAGAAGATCTGTAGTTTGTAGTTCAGTGAGTTCATAGGCTGACGACAGGAATTTCTAGTGCAAGGAAGCAGATCGTGATTAATTTTTAGTAGATGGCCCATGTTCTGTCTTTAGAGCCCAGCATGTTGATTTCTTCCATGAAACTGGTTCTGAAGATGACTGGTGTTCTGCCACTGACCTGATGTTATCACAGACGATGTCAAGTACTCACTGCCACAGAGGTGTATATTGTATTTTTCCCTCCAAATTTGCTATACATTTTCCTGGCCCTCTCATTCATCAGAAAATATATTCTTATCTCTGATAAGAATCAAAGGTTTGGGAGCTGGTTTTTGGAAGAAAGGCTCCGACAAGTAGTGAGTGTTACCAACCCATGACTTTATGGCACCATGGTCAGGGCAAGGGTGGATAAATTTCTTTTTATATTTTTCAGCTCTCTCCTCCATCAGAAAATATATTCTTATCTCTTATAAGGATCAAGGCTGGAACATGAACTTGTAAAATATTGTAGTTGTGGTTCTCAAAGTTAATTCTAATAAAATATCCATTCTTGAGTTGGTTGAAATTCATATCCCTGTCTTAGATTATTTCTTTTAACAAGAAATTAAAATCTCTATAAGATTTCACTACTGAAAGATTAGTAATGTAGTAAACAAATTATGTTAAAAGAAAAATACATGTACTGAGATAGTCTTGGTTAAACTGAATATTACTTTTTCATTAGAGTGTACCATGTTCGCATTAGAGATCTTGCTTGCAAGGAAATTTGGCATTCAAATGCTGTATGCCAACAATGGCAGTTGTCACCAGAGAGAAATTCATGAAAATTATGCTGTTCATGTGTAGTATGGATTTCTAGAGAAATACTTTTGTTGATTGTCAGGTCATGACAAATTGTTCATGCCTATGAAGAAACTAAATATAATGGGGTTTTGCTTGTTAAAAAAAAAAAAAAAAAAAAAAAGAACTTTTCATTTACACTAAATTCACATAACCTGGGCATCCTAAGAAATATTCCAATTTTTTTGAGTAAAAATTATAGTTGATATGTAACATTTTACCAATTTCTGCCTTCTTATTGTAATTCTTCTTCACAATAAGACAGCATCTATTCATACTATATGAACCATTTTCTTAGTAAAAATTTTAATTTGGGCATTATTTAAATTTCTCTTTCTAGAGATGATCTCAACACATAAAGAGAAATACTGAATGTCAAATGAAAGAGATATTTTACAATATACATGGCTTCCAAATGGAATCAATAAAAATCTACTTGGAATTTCTTAACAGAATTCCCTCATCCCAAATAATACCAGGTATTCATAGAGAATATTGCAAATGGTTGAAGAAGAACAAACCTGTCATCATTTTCTTTGCCTTTTAGCTTGCGATAATCCAAATTTTGATAGGAACTTGTACTTGTAATTTTGTTATGTAAGTCTACCTGGCCTGTAGATTTGTACAGTGGGGGCTCGTTCACATATTTTTGATACATCCTTGTAGTCTGGAGAAGAGTATCATAAAATTGCAAATTAGTACTACTTAAATAGACTGGTCCACTTATAGAAAATTGGGAAAAATTTTCAGGAATAATTTTTGGTGATTAGCATTAATTAAACTTTGCTTAGCCATGACAATAAAAAAATATTGATTTTTTAATAATTTTAGAAGGGGACATCCTATTTATACTCTCAATACAGTGTAAAATCAACTGACTTTTTACAGAGTTACTGGAACTAGTTGTTATTTACTACAGGTCAAATTTGAAACATCATTGATATCTGCATATTTTTTATTTTCTGAATTTTTTACCATTTTTGAAAACATTTTTTAAGAAACTTTTTGAGGAGAATTTTTGGAATTACATGCACAAACATTGGGGGATAATAATTATTGATCTTAAAATTGATAAAGACTTTTATTAATTGACAAAGTTTGTTATTTACTTAAAAATGTATATATCTGTCTTTATTTTAAAAAAAATCTTTGTGTAAAAAAAGAAAAGGTCTGTTTTCTAACATAGAACAGCTAACTCCAATAACTCTGTAAAAAGTTAGGGCTCAATTTTACAATGTATTCATATTATGAACAGGACCACTTTTCTAAAATGATAAAAAATTAAAATTTTTCAATTCCAACAAATGTTACACATTGAAGAAGGTCTAATAAAAGCTAATTATGAAAATTATTTCCCATTTTTTATGCATGGACCAGTCTACTTAAGTAATGGTGGAAAATTATAGCATCTCTACATAAACATATAGTAAGTATAATTATTCATATAAATTTCAGATTATCAGTAATATCAATAGAAATTGATAACAAATTTACATTATTTGAAACTTTTTCTTCATTTCCAATTCATAATATTTATTTATGTTCATAAAATAACAATCTGAGAGTTGTGGAAAAAAAATGAAATAAGGTAACAAAAAAACTAGTCAACAGAAGTGAGAGCACTTATCATATATACTATTTTAGCTTGGTTACAATATAAATTGGAATCACTTTTTCTTGATATCACTGGTAATCAGAAATGAAGTACATAGACTGAATGATCATCTTAGAATTATATTCAGAAAACTGTCTCTAGTAACCACAGACCTTCTTTGAGATTTATATACAAACTAATTGATTATTTTTTAACAACTTAATATTTATAGTAATCATATATTGATCCATGCATTGAATCAATTATGAAAGATTGAGATTTGAACTAAAACACACTCAATAACCTCTCTAACTAAATGCATAACACATGGGAATTATAGTTTAACCCTTAAACAGCAGCCATCATCAATTCAAAGTTTCAAAGGAGATCATTAATTAATGATTTTAACTTTTCCAATTATACAATCAGAATTCATTCATGGTTTAAGTCTAAATAGTTAATTGGCAGCTCTGTAATTCATAAGGTGATATCATTTGTTGTAGAACTTGCTTGTAAATCAAGATGGAAAGACCAAAGTGTTATGGTGATTTTCTAAGCATAGCGTAAATGCAGCCCAAGGTTAAAATCAAGAGGCATCCACTGAATATTAAACACATTACTCAGTTGTAATTGATCTAGCAAGATAATCTTGATAACCATTACACCACATCAAAGTGCCTGAAAAGACAATGTTAGGTTTGTATGCAGAATTCTCAAAAGAATAATTAACAAAAAAATAGTGACAACATAGTGCAAATAAAGCATGACTCCATTGTGCATTGAATGCTTCAAGGATTATGATACAGTTAAAAATATTCAATTTAGGAAGTTTCATTGTTTCATTGGATATCAACAATTGATGATTAAAACTTTTCCCAAGAATACAGGCATCATTCATTCAGGATTCAATTCTAAATGACTAATTGGTAACTCTAAGATTCATGAGATTGCTATTTACTAGGGTTCATAAGGCTATGTCATTTCCTGGAGTATTTGCTGGCAAATAAAGATGGAAGAATAAACCAAAGACAGTGCTACATCTGCATGCAGACTTCTAAAAGAGATGAAAAATAGTGATAACTTGGTGGAAAGAATGCATGACTTTATTAAATGCTTCAAGGAGTATGATACAGTTAAAAATATTCAATTTGGGAAGCTAACATTTGTTTTATTTCCTTGTTTTTTCTATAATCTAGAAGAGTTTTAAGAAACCATTTGTTATGGGGTCCACCCCTTTTTCATACAAGTAGACTCGACTGATTGAGTTGGAGGTAGAATAATAGTGTGAGGTAACCACTTGTAAAAGTCACAGTTACCAGCATGTAGACTCTAAGGAAGTCCTACTTTGAGACTGGATTTACCAGACTGTATATATATATATTATTATTGCTACTAACCCCGTTTCTGGATTTCCTAAGCGTATTACCAATTGTATTATTGTGTAAATACATTTATTTGTTATATTTCATTCCTGCGTTTGTCATTCATTGGAGACCGAATTTCATCTTGGAATCCACAACACCATTTTCATTATTTTTGTATATAATTAAACCGGAGATAAACTGTTTTAAAAAATAAAATTTTGTTTGATATGCTCATTCATGCAACCTTTTGTCACCTTTTTAATAGTTAAGCTATTCAAACATCCATCATTTTTACCATTTGGATACATATTCCCTGCATTTATGAATGGGTATCTATACCTTTTCAACTTCAACATGATAATAATCAACTTCAAAATGGACTTATTTTCAAGTAAAAAATTAATCAATTCCAAAATGGATTAATCAACTTCAAATTGGATCAATCAACTTCAAAATGGAACAATCAACTTCAAAAATGGATCAATCAACTTCAAAATGGATCAATCAACTTCAAAATGGATTAATCAACTTCAAATTGAGAAAATGTCAAAAACCTAAAAACAATCAACTTCAAAATAAGAATAAACAACTTCAAATTGGAATAAACAACTTCAAATTGAGATATTTTTTGGTAAATTGAAAATTATTTTTTCAATTAATTTACCCCATGAGTAAGGAAATTGACTGTTCGTCTTCATTATATAGATGAAGAAAAAATACAAACAACTTAGAGGCCAAGAAAGCATTGGGTGAGCCTACAGTAAAAGTAGGAGGAGAAAGTCCCGTATGGTCAAAAATGATGATTGATGATGTTGCTGGAGAAACCTCTACAAAAGAAGCTGAAGAAGAATTAACAACAGCTCCAAAGAGGATTTACCTCAAGAAAATTGTGGCTGGCCAAAAAAAGCCCCAGATTTTAGCTGCACATGCCACAGCAGGAAATTGGAAAGACCTGGCAAGAACAATTGGTGTGCCTCTGCAAACAGTGTACTGTTGGTTAGACCAGAGTGCTGATAAGAGTGACTGTAGGGGGAGGAGCAAGAAAATATAAAATTACGCAAGAGCATAAGAATTTTATGGCTGAATTAATTGAAAACTCTCCTAGGGACACCCTTCAAGACATTGTAAATAAGTTGGTCGAAAAGTATGAGGTTCGTGTGACGAAAGAATGCATAAGAAAGCACTTGGACTCCATGGCCTTTACTTTAAAAGCAGTTCATTATGAACCAGAAGCTGCCAATAATAATGTCAATAAGGCGAAACGTAAGGATTATGCAGCAGCTTTATTAGAATTTCAGTCCCAAAGTGTGCCAATTCTTTATATGGATGAAACCAATTTTAATCTCCATATTTCAAGAAGAGAAGGTCGCTCTAAAAAAGGTATGAGGTGCACTACAGTCACGGCCGGATCCAGGGGAAATAACATCCATGTTATTGGATGTATTAGTAATAATGGATTAATTCATGATAAAATTAAAAGAGGTTCTTTCAAAAAAGAAGACGTGAAAGAATGGACCAGGGAGTGCCTTAGAAAGGCAAATGAAATTTATGAAAGGGGAGTTGTCTTAGTTATTGATAATGCTCCTTGCCATACTTCAATTGAAGAAGTTGTGGAAGAGGATGAATTTAGGTAACACCAAATTTTCAGACTTGCCCCCTATAGTCCGATGTTAAATCCCATTGAAAAGGTTTGGTCAGTCATTAAAGCTGACGTAAAAAGAAGTATGGCAGACTCAATTGTTGGGATTTTAAGAGGTGATGGCAAGGGATCTTTTTTAACTAAAGAATTCCGCCTCAGCAAGTTAGAAGCGATGATCTCCGAGGCAATTAATAATAATTTCCCCTGAGACTTGCACTAACTTCATATCTGGAATACAGAGATTACTTCCCTCTGTAATTAACTTAGATGATGTAATCTTTTAAATAAATTTGATTGATCCATTTTGGAGTTGATTAATCCATTTTGGAGTTGATTAATTTTTTTACCTGAAAATAAGTCCATTTTGAAGTTGATTATTATCATTTTGAAGTTGAAAAGGTATAGTATAGGTAAACAATTAAATTCTATCTATCATTTTTAGTGTTACTTGATGCAGATTCAAATAAGAACAAGAAACTTCAATTATAAAAATGGTTACTCATGTTTGACAAAAACAAATTTAGATATTTCAAACTACTTTACCAGTACCATTCAAAAATGATGGCAATGTCTTTGAGAATTTATCAGGAGCTTACTTGATTATATTTAAATGTATTACATAGCTTACTTGACTGGGATAAAGGTCAGAGAGGAAATCTTGAGAGTCCTGTATTGAGTTTTGACTGCCACAACCAGAATCAATCTTTTCTTCTGAAAAACTTTGAAACATTAAAAAAAACAATTAAAAGACAAATATCAAAGATATAAAGATAAAAGTAAACTACTTTTAGTAATTCTGTTCAATGAATACAGGCTTGACTGAAACACAATAACCTAAACCTTGATGCAATTAGTTTTATCTTATCTTGCTTCTCTTTTTAGTGTGTGTGGGTGGAGGTGTTTAATTGATTTTTAAATATTAAAATGATAAACAGGAAACTAAAATATGAAATTTAGTGGTTTATTGATGTGAAGTGTCTCGCATTAAGCAGTGATAATAGTGGTGTGCAATCATTTGCACAGAATCAATTTTTATGGTTTTATAATTTATATTGGACTATGATAAAATGTTTGCACAATTTTGTTTTCTGTCATTATGTGAGAGCAAGAGTATTCAGTTAAATGCCATGTGATACACACTTGGGTGATCATATTTCTTTTGATTCATGACTGACTAGGCAGAAGTTTTTACGTAGTAGGTTGCCATTTCTTTCTTCAGTAGACTGGTTGCCAATGGAAGCTACAGGACCCAGTCTGTGCTGCTATTCAACCCATAGATGCGAGAAGAGATGGATTCATACCTTCCCAAAGGGTATTTGTGTATAAGTGAATGTAATGAAACTGACTGGAATTCAAACACATCTTTCCAAACAGCACTGAAAATTAAATTTTGCCATGTATCTACCAAGTGTTAACAGTCACAGAAAGATGACCTGGTCCATCCTGTTAGCTATCATGAGTGCACCTAATGAGCTAGAACTGAGAGTGAGCTGTGGTTCTCTTTTGAGTTGGAGAGTAATCAACTCTGATTATCCATTAAATCCCTTGCAGTTCATTATGATTTTATATTTTGCATTTTATATTCTTGAATTAATGATCATGTAAAATTATTTGGAAATGAAAATAGATTTTATTTTAAAATTTACTTGGCCAGCTTCTATCAAAGCAACAGAGTAACATTTGACATTATTATTATTGTTTTATTTGAAACTCATCTCCCATATAATTCAACTTTGACAAATATTTACAAAGTTGCAAATAAACTACTCACTGGTCATTTTTTCTACAATAATCAATTTTCACAAGGTGAGATATCAATTTGCTTACATTTTCAAATCTTGGAACTTAAGAATACAGACAGTTTTCTGTTTGGAATTCTTTATTTCTTAACAAAAAAAAGAAAAATGAACTTCTATTTTTATATGTTTACTTTGTTTTTCTACTATTAAAACAAACAACAACTAATTGCATGTATTGACAAAAAGAAATTAAAATTACAATAAAAGAAGAAAACATTTAGACTAATTACATATAAAACATTTAAACTAGAGAATGTGCATTTTTATGTGTGTTAAATTTTTGTAGGCCTAACTGATAGATGTGTGAAAGAGTTCAAGTCAAGAGAGAGAAACAAAAACACAAACAAGCCTAGTGGCTACATTCCAATTGTACATAGACAACATCTTAATATCAGAATTGAAAAACTGTAAAAGAGAATAGGGAGATAAATGTATGCCTTTATATAGGCTTAAGGAGCACCCTCTAGTGTTGTTTTTAGCAAAGTAACGCACATATCTATAAAAGCCTAAAGTCTTCAATTGAATATCCATTTAAAAATTTTTATTTTAATAATTCAGGTATTATATCCAAATATTGAATTTTTTATTTAACTTACTTGGAGAACAAATCTCTAGATTTGATGTGGTTAAGGAGCATTTTTGGAAAGCTTTCTATATACTTTTCTAGAAAAAGGAACCTGGAAATAGAAATATATAAAAAAGGATAAAAAATCAAAACAAATGTAAGCTTAAAATATATAAAACTACTATTAATATAAGTATTTTGATCCAATTATTACAAAAAAGCCAATCAAAATTAGAATATTTTAATTACAATATCCATTAATGATAATGATTCCTTTCCTTTAAGGAAATCTTTTCCCTCAGAAGATTACACTCAAATTTATTTAATAGAATGTTCCATATAAAAACAAAATTTGTTATCTTTAAGCAGAGGTAAGACATACAGGGTGTGATGGGTAAATTGTTCCCATGTTATATTTTTAATTTTGCACATGCACATTGTTTGTTTTTGATTTTGTTGACTGTACAGTAGTGTCAGTTGAGCATTGTCTTTGAGAAAAAGAGTGCTATAATGCAATTCATATTGCCAGAAATTTGAAAATGGCATGCTTACTGCTTGGCATTTGTGGTTATAAGCTCTAATACAAACATTTCAGAGTGTTTGGGTCTCAAAATGAGGAAAGTGCAGAGAATATGGAACGAATTGGATGAGCCTAATTACAAAGGTGTTTGAAGTGATCACTAGTGATGGTGACATTATGCCTCCATCTATCTTCCCACTGATTTTGATTGAGAGTAAAAATTCCCTATAACTACTTTTGCAAACTTGAAACTTGAGCAAAATGAATTGCTTGGTTCCTTATAGCTAACAGTAACCAGACTGTGGCATGCAACAATACACACTAATGGCCAGTAATGTTACCCTATTTCATCTTTTCAATTAAAATGATAATATCCTAACTAAATTACAAAAAGTGTCCCATCTTGTATCTAGAACATGTAAATATGAAATAGCAATATGGTTTAATCATTGCAGCTAAAAGTGTATGATTTTCTTCTGAATTTTTTTATAAAATTAGCAATTTTTGAAATAATTCAAAAAATTGTGATTCATTTTAAAACTGAAAAAGTACTGTATTTTAGAAAAGTGATTGATTGCACCAAATTTAAAAATATAGTAATCTTAATTGTAAAATATACTAATCGTATTAAAGTTTTGCTATTCTTAAGGAAGAAAAATTATGGAATCATTTTAAAAAAAGGAGAATAGTCTATGTCGTACAAGGAATCATGTCAATTTAAATTCCTTATTTAAATTTGATTTGATATTTTAGCTTTCAATATTAGCATTCAATTTCAAACAATTAGAAAATAAACCACACATTTAATATAAATCTTTAAAAAATCAATAATCTGATAATCAAAATTTTTATAAATTGCCTTAATGAAATAAATTTTTAATGACATTTCTTGTAGATATTCTTTGAATTTCATCAAAAATGTAAAATTTTCAATGCAATTTATGGCTCATTATCAGGTTTTTTAATTCAGACACATGAAGACTGTAAGATGGTGAGAGTTGTTATGGAGACTTCCAAGGAGATACATATCTTTGGAATGCATTAATACCCTGGATGATTTGACATGGAATGACCTGACAAGGATTTATATATCAGTAATAAAAAATCTCTCTGAGAACAATGTGTGTTTGTCATTTGGCTATTCTGTTCCATCTGTGTATTAAGGTTTCTACTATATCACAGATATAATAATGCCTATAATAGGGAAATGGAAACTAGGAATATTCTTTCTTGTCTGGCACTCCTATTAGAGATATTTGTTGAGGGAAAATGTTCTCAGAAGTTAAAACATGGACATTTTTCCCTGCTCCTGTTTGACCTCAAATATCTTCCTATATAAATTCAAATATACCCAGCCATGATTTACAGAAATTAATTGCATTTTGGACACTATTTTCCATTCTATTTCTGTTACATGACATTTCAATTCCTAAAGAAGGCCTAGAATAGGTGGTTATTTTTAAGCATAAGAAATGACAGAGATAATTCAATATTTGGTTCAGAGCTTTAAAATCAACACTAGGCAAAGTAAGAAATAATGAAATTATTTCATTATAGAATTAATGTTTGTAGTTTTGCTGTACACTAAGCTGTTGTTGTTTGGGTTTTGTATTTTTATCAAGAAGATGGTAAATATGAACCCAACTGAAAGAAGGATAGTTTACTTTGGACAGAAATAAAATAAAAATGTATTTAAAATTGAATTTAATTAGATATAAAATTACTTTGGCATTTCTACAGAAATGCACCTTTCTAAGAAATAATTCCTTTTTGCTATTTTTCTTCATATTCCTATCAATTAAGCTCCACAGACTAACAATAAAAAAAAAACAACTTTATTATCTAAATTTTATGAGGGGGGGTCAGTTTGCTGTATAAATTGATGGTAATTTGAGCACCCTTGAGAAAGCCAATAAATAAATAAAATTAATAAATAAATAAATGAAAAATACAAGGGAAATAATTAGAATACGCCTTAAATTCATATTTTGTGGAAGTTTTGCAAGTAATTGAAAAGCATCATTTTAACACAACACTGGATAAAGATAAGAATGTATTTTAATTAATATAAATATTAAATTTTTACATGAATTATTTTAAATTTAGTATGAATTTACATAGCAAACTGAACATCCATCTTAAAATTTAGAAAATTAAAAAATACAAAAACACTTTTTGATATTCGTAATCTGGATCGCTTATTTGATAAGAATATAGAAAAAATTGAAAAATGATTATTTCTTGGACAGGTGCATTTTTCTGTGCATAATAAAAAATGGTAAATTTTCATTTTAACACCCGAGTGCTAATATCCCTTCAAATTTTTCCAAAATAGTCTTATTTCCGTGCAAATGTATATGCTGAACTCAAATCAACAATTAGATATTGAAGAAACCAACCTTTTTGGATGTTAACGACCGGAAAAAAATCGAACTTTTTCCTAGTCTTTCGTCAGCCATTACCGGCTTATTGATAAGTAATTCAGTGCTGAATTTTGTTGGTGGACGTATACAATTTGGGCCTATTTACTTCCTTCACAGTAATTCCTTGTAGTTAACTTTCAAATTAGGGTTAGATTTTTTTTTTTTTTGTTATGCTTTTATTTTTGTTATTTTTTTTTTTTTTAAGAAGAAAGTTAACTTTCAAATTAGGGTTAGGTGTTTTTTTTTCTTTGGTTATTCTTTTATTTGTCGATGTTTACATATATTTGAAAGTTAACTTACTTCTTAAATTAAGTAAAAAAATAAAAAAAAAAAAAAAAATCGCTTTACAGAAGCGCGTACTAATTTCTGAAAGAAAATAGTTCAGCAGTGAATGACGCTCGGGTGTTAAAATGAAAATTTACC